GCAGCCAGTGACTGAAAACTGCCACCTCCTGCTTAGCGAAGACCTGGGTTCTAGCCCCCGCTCTTGATCAGATTGCCAACAAGACCTTGGCACAGATTTTTCTTGAGCTTCTTCTGTAATGTGGGGATGATAATACCTGCTCTGCCTATTGTCATGATTCTCTATGGGGAGCTAATGAAAAATACATGTAAAGCAATATTGAAGGCTGTGAGGAGTTACACAAATTCAAGTTGATGATATTGATAGGATAGGATAGGATATATGATGGAGGTGATATAATCCCCAAACTCAGAGAGAGACAATCGACAACTTTCTTATGAAGACATGTGGTTAAATGACAAAAATAATCTTCTTTTCACCCCTCCCCAAACTATCACTTGGAGAAGTCAAATTTGTCAAAGCAACCTTAAAAATTATCTTTATAGGATCATAAGCAAGCTGTAATTTCTGTGAAAACTGAAACAGAGCTGATATAATACAGTTGCTGTGTATGCCATGGCAAAAACAGGAATCTGTCAGGCTTGTTAAGTCATTTGTTATCAATTTAGGATGAAAACACAATATATCCTCAGGAAGAAATGATCTAACCAAGGAGATCATTATTATCATAATCATTATCACTTTCACAATCCATAGAAAATTTGCAAATCAGCCATGATAAAAGAAAATCTTGATTAATCAAAAGCCAGTGAACAAAACCATCACATAATTTATTTTCCAGTACTTCTATTTTCAGGCAAAACATGTTACAAGAAAACATGATGATGTAACAGAGTGGTTTACATGCCAAAAAATGTATCTTAAGAGCAAAAATTGTTTTCTTTACTACTACATTCTCAGTGACTAGAACTAGGAATATTTTTGTATGAATTTAAATAATTGATTATAGCTGTGAAATTATATATATTATGGCCCTGGGGCATTGTATAACCCTACATCATCAAAGAAAATTTTCTTTAAAATCAATATGTTACAGTAATCATGGTCTAGTAGAACAAAGACTTTCCACAATAGCTGGAGGCCTCAATGCTTTACCCTTCCCACTGTCTCTATTGAATCAAAGTATTCAGAATTCTAAAAATAGACCATAAAAATTAAATAAATCCTGATTCACTTTAGGTTTCCATGCCTTTTATGTTAGAGTACCTCCCCCCAATATCTATTTCACAATTGAATTTATCAGGAAATGCATGCTGATGAGAGGTGTTTTTGGAAAGTCTAACTTAGGGTTTCATCTTCCATAAAATCTATTGTGATTTCACCATCCATTATGTATATGTGTATGTATATGTATATCTATATATATATAGATATACATATATATAGACTATATTTTAAATCATTCCTTCGGCCTCAATCATTTACATTGTGTACATTCATCTATGTTTATGTATGAATGTCCCAGTTTCTCAATATTCTTTAAGCTTCTTAAGGACAGAGAACTTTCTTTTTCTCTCTATATTTCCTGGCATAATACAAATACAAACTTTTGATGGAAATAATAAAGGTGAGTAAACATACAACGAGGCAAATAAATACTGAGAACCCAGGACTTGAGGTCCCCTGGACTCTAATTACTCAAAGAGATTTTGTCAGTAACAATGAGTATTCAAAATTTAGGATAATTTTTTTCCTGCTTTTCTTAGATTTATACCTTATACTTGAAAGGAACACATTAAAAGTATTTTTACTTGCAAACAATTTGCAGATACCATAATCCAATCTGTACTTAATATTTTTGCTTCTCAACATTTTTTAAGCCTGTGTTATGTAAACAGCCAGCACCAGTGTAGCTTGCTGAGATGTGAAGAAGAGAAAGAAAAGTGAAAGGATACAATGTTGACACAGGCTTCCAACCCTAGAGAATTTATAAAAGAACCCTGTAAATAACAAACATCCAATATGACAGTTTTGTGTCTATAGAGTTAGGACAAAAAGCTCATCAAAGCAGGAAATATAGACTGGATTTTGACAGCAGCAGAGGAAATGAGCATTCTTGGTGGAGGGAACATCATGTGAAAAAGGTAAAGAATGAAGAAAAGAGCAAATATTGCTAATGGCTAGAATTAGGATGCCTGGATGTTTGTGGCTTTCCCTGAGCACTCATATGACATGGAGTACTTCTCATCAATGCACTGACCCATTACTTTACTATGAGCCATTTAAGCAAGTGTCTTTCCTACCAGACTTTATAGCAGGTACCAATGAGCTCTGATTTTTGTCTTTAATATCTTACATAATTCCTGGCTCATAACAAACATCCAAAACAAATTTGTTTTACTTTTGGGTTCTTTTGCACAAACACTATCAAAAAATAAACAATTATATTCTATCATTTTAATGACCGCATTGCAATAACTCTTCCTATGACAGTACAATGTATACATTAATTATTCCCAGTTGCCTTTAGGATAATTTTATCAAGTTCCCAAGGAAACAATGTACTTTAAAAAGAGATTTCATTAATTTATGGATTAATTTTGAGAGAATCAAGATGCTTAATACATTTAAAATATTTTAACCACAGAATAAGGGACATTTCCTCATTTATTGATGGTTTTTACAAATCCACTTTGTTAAGTCTTCATAATTTTCATTAAGTAAGCTATGTACTTCCTATTAGATGTATTATGTGTATTTAAACTTTATAAATAAGATCTACTTTTTCTTATACTGTCTAACTAGTGATCGCTGGTTTATAGGAGACCTATTAATTTATACTTATTTTGTAGCCGATCATTTTATTGAACTTATTCATTTTAATAGTTATAAATTGATCCATTTGGGCTTTCCTGGTAGACAATTATATTATCCACAGGTTATAATAATTTTATCTCTTCAAAATGTATATCTTATTTCTTCTTTTTATTATTGTGTTGAATAGAAGTTATAGAACAGGGTTAACTAATAGGTATTATTTCAGCACTCCTTGCCTTTTTTCAGTCTCTAGAATTTCTCCTAATTTTGCCCTTTGATTTCAGATAAATTTTCTTTATTATATTAAGAAAGTTTTCTTTTACTATTAATTCCCTATTTTATCAAGAATTAATGTTAAATTTTATAAATTACCCTTTAATCAACTCAGGTTATATAAATTGTTAGCCCTCAGTTGTTTTATACTTTGAAACATTTGCACATTTGAGAAACAGGTTTAACTCTAAGCACTTGTCCTACACTATAGAGTACCTATATTAGCATAGTTCAAATTCTTGGCATAATGGTTGTCTGCTGATGGGAAGGTACCTGATATTTCTCCTTTCCAGGGGAAACAGGAAAGTACCAGCTGTGGAAAGTTTGGTTAGTGTCATAGCCAAAACTTAAAATATGGTAGCCTGATTACCACATACTCTTACTCAAGGAGAAAGGCTTTGGCATTATCTGGATTTATTCCTTTGACTTATTGATGGGGACACAGTAGGAAACAAAGCAAACTTCCTGTCCAAGACAATGCCTGATAAATAACAGGTACTAAATAAGTATTTGTTGAATAAATTAATAAGTAAAAAATATTTACAGTAGAGTAGCTTTTTTGGGAGTGGCTCTTGGACCCTTAATTCAATTTTGTCTATAATCTTTAATCAATTTAATTCTTACTTTTTACTTTAAATTGAGATATTTGTTTCTGTATCAAATAATCATAATTTATCCATTTTAGTTTGGGGCACATATTAACTTCACAGTTTAAAAAATTGCCTTCATGAAAAAAAGATATGCAATATCCACTTTGCTGTTAGTTTCAGTTAAAGAACAAGTTGACATTTTTCTCCCCCATCCTTTTTTCTTTTCATTTCTAAGGAGTAGGGTACTTAATTTAAATTTTACTTATTAATTTCTAACTTTTTTTGACTGTGGCCAGAAAATGTAGCCTGTATACTCTTTTGTTTTATTGAGATTATTTTTGTGATCAATGTTTACAAATATTTGAAGAGTGGAGGAAAAAGGGTGCATTCTCTATGGGACATACAGTGCACTCTATAACTATTCAGTCTTTTATGTACAGATACACCCTGATGCTTTTCCCCCAACCCATATCCTCTTTTGTCTGCCTGTTTGAACAATGACATAAGTCTTCGATATTTATGGAAAAAATGTTAAGTGAAAGAATGAATGTAGTAGAATGAATTGACTAAAAGATATAAACACTAAAAAAGGTCAAGATGTAAAGAGGCAATTATAAGATGTGTCTTTATTGATAGGAACATATTTGAAGCTTAGTCTAACAATGTCTAACTTTCTAATATAGAATGAAATTACAAATACTTAAAAACCTGTAATCTTGGAACAACAAAAATAATAGAGAGTAGTTCTTAAGTTTATAAAAATAAAACATGACAATAATTAATAACAGTTTGTAAAAGTCTAATTAAAATAGACATGCCTATCATGGAGAACTAAAAGAAGGCAAGATGATTTAAATTCTCACTCACATAACAGTAATATGTTGCCTGGAGGAAGCCCCTTCACATCTTTATACCACTTACTCATCTCTGAAAGGAGATGTTCAGGTTCTTAAAATAATGCTTATAAAGCACTTAAGAAGTTCTCATGAGTTGTAGCTCATATTTTCAGGAGTTAATTTCTTATTATGATTTATATGAAGTTGATGGTGTTCTATCTTCAAATATTTTAAAGAGAAAGAAAACTGGGTATATGATACTTCCTTTGGGGAAAGACACCTACCAAAGTTATTGGTTTTGACTTCTAAAAATGAACTTGAAATTTTCAAAAAGCAGGTAGTATTTACTATGTTGTGATATTGATTAGCAGAATCACATTGCTAGGCCTTTATTTATTGTTATTTTTAACTAAAATTGTATTTCAGTGGAATATTCATTTATCTGTCAAAACTACAGAGAGGTCAACAAAAATACAAACAATCATTAGCTGTAAATAGAAAACATATTAACATGGAAAACAAAGCAAATGCTAATGCTCTAATCAGTCAAAACAGAGCAGTAGGCATCTATAAAAATACAACTGTAATTACCACTGGTTCTTACCTTGGTTAGTTGTTTAAGCAATTTGTATGTCTGCTAGAAATGGATGTCAGTGGTATATCCAAAACAACCAGAGATGTAGTGTGAATCTTGATGTCAAAATCCAGGTTCTACAGGTTCTAATTTTAAAAAAATTAATATTCTGGGCTTTTTCCTTTCTTTAAACCTGTGCAAATAACTGGTTTTCTTAATCATCCTCAGGGAAAGAAACCGTTCTGTAGCATTGACAAAGGAGGATTTTCATGAGTCTGTATTGGATTTGAGGATTTATATACGGATGAAAATAACAGCAACCAAATCACCATTATCCTTTGCTAGAGCCCAAGCTCATTAATATGTATAAGAGTTAAGGATAAAAGGGGGGGTTCTCAGAACTACACCACTTGACAAATTTGAAAGTAAAATTAACCAAAGGTAATATAGCCTGATGAGATATGTTAAAGTTATACTACCAATTCACCCAGAATTACAGTCTTGAAAACATGGTCTAGGTTTTTTCGAAGTATGATTTTTTTAATATAGTGCCATCATATTAAAAACTATTGAAATATAAATAGGGTGCATTTGTTTATTCATTTATCTCTTTATTGTGTGTTTTGTGGAAGAATTACATGTTTGAAATTCTGGTCAAGAAGTAAAATAGGATGAATCTCAAAGAATAATTCATACTTTAGATGTGAAAAAAGCATCAAGATGTGCCAGTTAGTTTCTAAATGTTATTCTAATGACCTAAAAGTAAATTTCACTAAGAATTTGCAATGTAACATTTGACAGTTTACATACTCACAAAACTTTGGCTTATGGCTGAAAATCAAAATGGCACGAAATGATGTCCATTCAGCAAAACTTCCTTCATTTCAGTCTATTGGCTCCAAAAATACATTATTCTTTCTCCAATCCTTACAGTATTTGTCCTGCTGAATAATTAGCCATTGAACAGCTTAGTAATGTTTATTACCTCAGCTAAATGGCTTCAACTCCCAGTAGGGCAAGGTGGCTCTCAAAAGAATAGATCCCCCAAGAAGCCTGGCAAAGAAAATTAGCAGAATACTGAGTACTTTAAGAAAATTGGCTTTTGGGTTCTAGAATTTTAAAAATAATGTTATTTCTAATTACAAAATAAAACATGCATCATAAAATTTGGATGTTAAAGAAAGGAAGAAAAGAAAACTGAAACATTCTTAGCATTCTGGGATAATCAATACTAACATTTTGGTTAATACTCACCATTACATACATATATATTTATATATAGTTTTTAAATAAAATCATTCTAATTCTATTCTATTACTGTCATTGTTATATTGCTAAATATCTAAAATATCCTTTATAAGACTACATAATATTCTATCATATTTTATTTTTCCATAATCTTTTTTATTGATTTACCTATCATTGGATGTTTTTCCTCTGGTCTAAAATATTTCAAAATGAATGTTTTTATTCTTAAATCCCTATGTATACCTGTGATTATTTATAAATTTCTTATAAATGAGATTACTAGATTAAAGTGTACTACCATTTTTATTACTTTAAATTTGTCTTGCCAACATACTTTCCAGAAAATCTGTGTTTATGTGTTGGACTTTATAAAGTTAAATAAATGACTATGATTTGTAATTTGTTGACTTCATTCAACTTTTCACTTATCAGTCAATACTTTACCAAACATATTATTTTGACCCACTTTTTTGCCATCTTGTAGTTAAACCCATACCCTTTAAGCTGCTAGTAAGAAGTGTTTTTGATAAATACACTTCTGCTGTAAATTTCCTTCAAACTTACCAATGTAGCCACTTGTGTTACAATTTGACTTTGTGCTAAAATATTACTGTGTCAGTCTGTTTATATTAGACTCCTCTTTCTAGTTACATAATTTACTTAGGAAAATAAATCCCTTTCTTAGAACAACATGGCCATGTCTTAAACTGGTGTCTACAAGAATTAATTGTCAACATTCAAAAATCATAAAGTAATAATAAATATTAAAATCACAGATACAAAAGAAAATAAGTAATGAATAGACACACAAAGAGAAATTCTCAAGAAGTTAAGGAATTTAACTTTTCTCAGTTCTAAATAAATGTTTTAAATGCTAAAACAATCCCGTGAAGTAGATACTGTATCTACTTCATTTTCTAGAGGAGGAAAGGAAGACTAGGAAGGGAAGTAACTGGCTCAAGGCCCTCGGCTAGTATTCTGTCACTGCTAGCTGATGCTCACACCCACGTAGGGTTGCCAGTTCTAGTAAACAAAAATATAATGTGTGTCCCAAATATTACCTGAGGCAAACTTATACTAAAAAGTTATTTGATGTTCATCTGAAATTCTAATTCATATAACACTGGGTGTTATGTTCTTATCCGGCAACCCTGCACTGAGGCCCATCTCACTCAGAGCACCACACTGCTCCAATTACCTGGAAGTTAGGAGCGTGAAATACCATATCCAGTTACCCCTTCCAGCAGTGCATCCCTAATAGCCACAGCGAAGCGCACTGTACTTGGGAGAATGCTGCTTTTCATCAACTGTGTTTCAGTTTCCTCACCTATACATTGGACACACCTGTAATCTCCTTGACATATTACCTGCACGTAAGTGCTCAAGTTGATAGTTTTTATGATTATTTTTTATTTTATTATTATGTACTTTACATCTAAGAAATTCTCTCCTGGAACTATTTTAAATATTCATAATCACCCAATGTGGACCTCTCATTCATGAAAGTACTCAGATGCTCTGTGGACCTCAACATTTTCAGCTAGATAGGAGTAAGGGTGTTCAGAAAATTACTACTTGTTATCTAATATGGAAGGTCTTCTGTTCTTAAATCCAGTATTCATTTTTACCTCTACCTCTCTTATGCCACCTACTGCTGCCCACTTTTTGGTGGGGGTGGTTTCAGTGACACCATGCTAGGTGTAAGTGCAGAGGTTTCAGAGTCACGGGCCTGTGTGTGGATCTCAGCACCACCATTCACTAGCTCTGGGATCTGGAGCATATAGTAGTATACTTTCTGGGTCATAGTCTCACTTTCCATGGAATGGACATGATAACATTTTGCAGGCTTGTTGTAAGGTTAAGATGAGATATGGTAATATGAAGAATTGATTACAGTTCCTAAAGCATAGTAAACATCTGATAAATGTCTAATATACCTTTTAAAAAACAAACAGCAGAGTTAAGCTTCACTTTACGTCAAGCTTCACTTTACAATACTTAGTTTACTGTCATAAATTTACCTGGTTTCTTATAGAAGTTGAAAATACATTTCTGGTTAGGAACTATACTAAGGTTAATTAGAACAGTCCTTTTCTTCCTACACCATATACAAAAGATGCCACTAAAATGAAAAATAAAAGAAGAGGACAAGATTGGGAATTTGCCCCTGTAGCCATGGAATATTTATTTTCTCATGGTTAGTTTGTTATCTGAAACTTTCTTAAATGATTTAATGAGTTAAATAAAATAGTTGGAGCAATAATTCTAATAAACCTTTCTTCCTCCCACCAACTTAACTCCCAATTGATGTGAAACTTCACAGAAGTTGTCAGGTAAAACAGGTCTTCCTTCAGTGAATCATAGACACACAAATTCCTTACCCCTGTGGAATGACTCATTTGTTTAATTTCAGATGCACCTTCCTTTATTAGTTCTCACAAGTCCTTCATGGACCTTTCCCACTCCAAAACTATAATTAGGGAGGAACAGAATATTATTGATTCTTGGGATAATGCCTATTAATTGTTAGTCTTGAGAAACTAACTTAACCTTTCTGCACCTCAATTTTCTTATCAATAGAATGGAAATACAATACCACTCTCATTAGTTTTTGTGAGCAAGATTATAGCACATCACACACTGTACATATTTAAGAGGATGCTTAATAAATGTACTCTTTCTTCCTTTCCCTTTTCTCTAAGATCTTAGTATCTAGAGCAGAATTTTGCAGCATATTGCTTACACTTTACCTGTATTTAGTGTGTTGCAGTAGGATTTTTGATAACCAGTATATGTGGCCATTAAATAACTGACTTTTATAAAGATATAGAGCCATTATTTATATCTTATTTCTAAATAATTATATAATTCTAGCAAAATATGACCAAATAAATAATTCATTTCAGTTTTTTTAATGAAAATCTGTATTTTATGTGGGTAGAGCACTTAATAATGTGAAATAATAATCCTTCATAAAGGCATAGAATTTGTTCAAGTGTCTGTTCATTCAACATATAATTCCTAAGCACCATACTATGCTGGCCAATGTTCTAAGGTCAAGAGCATATGCAAGCCCTTTCTGTAGAGCTTGTACACAGGAGGCAGACAGGCAAAAAAAGGGGTGCTTACAAGGCAGTGTCAGCAAGAGCTGAGGAAGCACAAGGAGCCCTAAGATCTGGGGAGGAAAGGAGATGGACTAGGAGACCGCAGGGGAAAACTCTCTCTTCTTTGCTGAAATTGTAAGCAAGTAGGAATGTTGTCTTTATATATAAAACATACATACTAGGATATTTTTCTGATTTGCTCAGGTTTAAAAAGGTAAGAGTGTGTTTTGTTTTGTTTTGTTTTGTTTTGTTTTGTTTTCCCCTCCAAACTATGATTTGCTTGATCCAGTCTATCAATTGATTTCTTTTCCTGGGACCTGCAGTAACCTTGACTGATGGGAAGAACACAGCCACATTGGATTATCTGTTTAGTTGGCTACTTTTAGTCTGCTTCCAAGCCTTGCTTTGTCAGCTCCCTCTAAATCCTTATAATCCTATTTAAACTCCCTCTACCTATACATGCTCATTTGCATGGCATTGACTCTTTTGTATTTTCATTTAAAAAATTATCTGACTTGAGAGCTCTAGCTCTGGACTGTAAATTAATAATTTATTTTTATTGATAATAAGATACTATTATCAAATATTTGATAGTTTGTCTTCTAACATACCAAGACCTTTAGCCAGAGTGATCAATGATGTTTTCTCAGCATTCATAACCATGATAACTAAGTGCCATGTAACTAATTGCTTAATGTTTGTCTCCCCCTAAGAACTGTAAACTTCATGAGCACAGGACTGTGTCATTTACTTTAGCTCTAGTGTCTGACTCCGTGCCATACATTCTTTCAGCAAACATGTAAATGCCAGGCTGTGTTCTAAGCACTGGAAACTCAATAGTAAACAAAACTCATGGAG